GACCCCTACCTCGCCCGCCGACACATCATCCGGCGGGCAAGAGAAGACAATGTTGTTGTTACAGGGTCGTCACTCAAGAACCTTTCTTCACTTGTTCCTATAAAGCCCTGTAAATTATTATTATTATAATAGTGTCATGACCTCGTCTTTCTAAGGTATGCTTAGCCATAAGATGATGTAAGTAATACATACAATACATTACAACGACCTTAGTATGCGTGTTGCAATTTATTGGTAACCTTTTCAATATGAGTTCGAGGGGGGAAAGGGATTGTTAGTAATGGAGACTAAGAGTCCCATTGCTAGCAATATTGGGTATATTGCTAGCAATGGGACTCTTAGTCTCAGTTAGCCAGGTCGACCTCATTGCGGTTCTCCCTGGAAACTATCATGGTTAATTGTGAATTCGTCATGATGGGCTAACTGGCCTGTTTTCATTCTCATCTATCACCCTTCACTGGTGCTCCGCTAGCGTATCCCGTTAGCGCAGGCGGGGTTACCATACCATTTTTACCCATCAAAAAAAATATATGAGTTTGATATTCTAATTTATTTATAGTTCGAAGGACCCGCTATACTAGAAATTTTCCGACCAAATACAGAGTAATATATCAGTGAGTGAGTTATAAATTTATATATAGGGAGTTACAAGGTTATAACTTGTAAAAAATAAAAAGGCATAACGCATAATTGCAGAGAAAAAATAGCATTAAAACAGAGTGCATGCGTTCTATGAAATTATGTATCATTTTCTACTATATTATACTATTATTATAGATAAACAAGCTGATTTTATTTTTATTTAGGCATTGAGTTTCATATATAATTGAGATTTAACGACCATGTATACATAATACATTTAAATACATATATGTAATGTTAAAAGAGTAACTGTTGAGAGCGCCACTATCTTATTTATAAATTGATTGTTTATATACTTGTTTATATATTTGTATTTGTACATTACAAAAGGTTTAATTAGGTTCATGTAGTTATTTGTTCGGAGATAAAAATATTGTTGATTTTTTTTAGTTCTAACGTTGATACTAGATGGCGCTGTTTCCTAAATACGCTGTAATTTAATTCCTTTGAAGTCAGGTTCTAGCATTGTAGATTTTTTTATACCACTGAGGTGGCAATCAAGCTTACGGCCCACCTGATTGTAAGTGGTTACCGTAGCTTATGAACGCCTGTAATATGAGGGGTGTTACGCGCGCGTTGCCGATCTTGAAGAAACCTCTTTACCTCTTGGATAAACCTTGGCAGGAACCTCATTCACGGTTCGTGAATGAGCTCGCTGTCTCGTATATATGTATAATATAATTTTGTCACTATTATTTTTCTCAATGAGACCCCGCCAGCGTAAATCACTAGCGGAAGCGGGCTTAGCATTTCACCGTTTTAAAAATTAAATAAAAACTGTAATTTATAAAATTAATATTTTTAAATTGATACTTTCATGAAAAAAATATTAATTTTTTAATTTTTATTTACAAAAATACCCAAACAACAAACTTAACAAATACGTGTTAGTAACAACACATGAATAAATCATTAAAGCGATTAAAAAGTAATTCTATAAAATATTTAACAATTAGTAGAAATTGATATTAAATGATTATAATATACACAAATATGATTAAATTTAATACATCCTCATTTTTTATATCGACTGAAATGTAATTAATTTTGTATAAAGAGGTCTGTGTCTCCGAAAAGAACGTAATCCCTTCTAAACGCTAAAGTTACTTGTATTCTTTACAGATTACACTTGTTTTGTATTATATCTTCACCACGCGTGTGAATACAGTTCGAAGTTGCAACGAATTATGACATTAGAACAATAACTCTTTATCAGTAGGTACGAAATTGTTCCGGCCCACGTCAACGGTCACGTATAGGTGGCGTGGTGGATGCCTGAACATTGCGTGTCCCCGAAGATCAGTAAATAGTTATAGCTAGCGTGTGCCTTTGACGTCACGACATCGAGGGGTCAGCAATTGACAGTGACGGATTTGATTGCGGTCATTTACGGTGACACTCAAGACCTCCCACATACTGTTGTCCTTTCTTTATGGGTTGTTACAGTAGGGAGAAACATTAATTGTCATTTTCATTGGGAGAAAACTATGTAATTGTACTATTTTTACTACAACTATATATACAATGAACTATTTTTACCCTAATCAATACTTTTGTAATTTTCCCCCCTTTGACTTATTTATTTTTATTTATTTAACACTTTATTGCACCAACATAACATGATTTGTTAAACAATTTTCAATACGTATAGTGTAGTACAAAAGGCGGTCTTATTGCTAAGCAATCTCTTCCAGACAACCTTTGGGTAGAAAGAATTAAAGCATAAATAAATAGGTGGCGTGTTAAAAAAAATAGATCTGTAAAAAATAATATCTGTGACAGCATAGTCATATACACATACATAATTAAACACATACATCCAAACATATACATATATATACATACACATACATATATAAATATATATACATACATATACATATATACGCATAAATACATACAAATATACCTACTAATACACATATATATATAACACACATAAAACTGGAAATACGTAGTAAGTGATTATAAGGATAGGTAGTGGGATTTAACTAAGTTTTAAAAATGGGCAACGATTGAGCGCACCGTATAGAGTTACTTAAGGGAAATATCCCCAACTCGAAGGCTTAATCTTGAATCCGCCACTGGTGATTGAAAATTTAATATAGTTGTATCCTAATACTTCCCCCTCACATAATACAATGTTAAAATAAAATTTATCACTTAAATTTGTCCATAATATGAATATTTTATTAAAGAAAATATAAATGTCAATCAATCGGATAAAAGTTAGAACTTCTGATAGACTGAAATTTATTGTATAACATTTATTTATTTATTTAAGGCAAACAAACAGCTAAAACAATACATAATTATATACTTAAATAGTAATTTGGTAGCCACTAGAATTTGCACAAAATAAAATACAAGTAAACGAAACACAAAATTAGACAATAAATACTAAATTAAACAAATATAAACAAAATTAAACAAACAAATACTATTGAAAACTATAGCAACATTGTCAGTAATAATGCTCAGAAGTTAATAAAACATTTTTTCAGAAAAACACATTATTTGAGAATAATACCTGTATAAACATTAAGAAAAATTGATAATTATTTATAATAAAAAAAAAAAAAATTGATATAATATAGAATACTCACTATGTAATACTTGTAGCTATAAATATTCTTTAAAAATTAATTCAGTCAAGCAATAAATAAGCAAATAAATAATTTTATTATGATATCTGTCCATGAATATAAACAATATTTATTTCTTCTATACTTATTATGTACCTATGTGATAAAGCAATTTCGAGCCAAAAATATCGGTCTTTTTTTTCTATATCTACGAATTTACTATCGACAGTAGGTAGGTAAGTGGGCGTAGCTGAAATGTGAGACAGAGATATCATCACAAATAATCACAACTAGCACAAGCTTATGAAGTGGAAAATTTTGATAATATATTTATCTATATGTGCATAATAATATTTCACGTAGGCGTCCATAAGCGACAATAGTTTTACAATAACTATATGTATGTACTAAATAATTGACTAGATTTTTCACAGTTGTTCCATGTAATCTCTGATTTTCAGTATTGGCAACTCTTTTACCGAAGTAACTACGAAATGTAAGTTTTCATACTAAAATCTGTTACCGTAATACATCAGTCGTTTAGTGCCCAGTGCTGAACATAAGCCTCCCCCTATTGAGGGTTTTACCAGTAGTTGCCATACTTGGCAAGCGGGTTGGCAACCACATTTGGGCTTTGGTGATATTTTAAGAATTTTGAAAACTTTGCTTATTCCTCAAATATTAAATTCCTTTAGTCGCCTTAAGAGGTGACGACACCCATAGGAAATAAAGAGGTGATCCTTTCTATGCCGTGACCACACGGCAAAATCTGTTAACGAAAATTTTTTAAATATCAAAGAATTCAAAATATAATAAAAATTAAATAAATGTTGCACTGTTCATCATGTTTTTTTTTTATTTTAATATCCAATAACTACTACTATTTTAATATCCAATAATACTTATGTATGTACTTTGTAAATCTCAAGTAATAAAAATTAGAGTGCCTTCGAATACTTCCTTGGCACCTACTTTTTTCTTTTTTCTTTTTTTTACTAAATAGTAACTTTCAGCATAGTTTTAAGATTTCAATAATAGAAATAATTCTAATATACAGACATGCATCAAAGTAGTTTTTGTTACATGTATATGCATCAAAGTAGTTTTTGTTACAAGGTAATTATTAAATACTTTTCGATGAAGGAATAGTAATTGTTACTATATACCTACGTTTTGACCTCAAAATATGATGCAATTCAGGTGATAAGTTACAGGTGAAAACTGTATTTACCTTCAGAAACAAGTTCACAATATTAAGCCTTGAACTTGTTTAAAGGAAATACAGAAACTAAAATTACGTAGCACATTTAGTACTTGGATAATATTGGATAGTTTATTAGAAATTCTTGAATACAGGGTATTTTTTTTCTATTTAATATCTTTGTTTATTTCATTTTATTCTTTTTTTTTCTTAGTTTGCTTTAGAAAATCATTAAATAAATCTGAAGGAGCTTGTAAACATAAGTTGTTTTCATTGATATCAAAGCGATAAGCCTTGCTGGTCTTATCAACAAACCGTAGTTGAGGCAACGGCGCACTGGGGCAGTCGCCCACTGGCTTTACGAGCAGGGGATCCGCCCTCCATTTCTACTACTTTATTTTCATTTACCAACAATCACTAGTACTCTTTAGCTTAATGTGTTTCTCAAAATCAAAAACTTTAGTGACGTGACGTGTTCAAAAAGAGAATCAATTATAATCAAATCGTTTTGTGATTGCGTGTTGTGTTTCCGCATCGGAGTAATTAAATTACGTGTAAAGTAAACAACTAGATTATTTAAATAATTTCCTTTTAATTATTTTTTTCTTCAAGCTTAACATCAGCCGTATAACATATTGACTTAAAGCTAGAAACTATTAAGTAAGATAGAACAGTCTTAAGATGAGTAGAACTACAACTAGGTAACGATCAATGAGATCTCAATCACAGTCGGGGCATTGCGCACTTTAGTGCACCGATGCAGACGAGGTTTGCACTGGCACCGGCACAGCGAGGGTGGGGGAAGGTAAAAGTCTTAATACAGGTTGCTGGGGTGCTCTTTCCTTTGCGTGCCTCTTCACGTGTTTCGCAAGATGATCTGACCGCATAAAACGACGGTTGCACACGCGACATCCGAATTTTTTCTCGCCAGTGTGCGTCCTTTTATGTCTGGATAATTCATCGGACCGCGAGAATCTGCGTTCGCAGCCAGGCCAAGCGCATCTGAACGGTCGTTCCCCGGTATGTGTACGGGCGTGTGCTTTTAAATGGGACGATTTAAAGTAATTTTTCCCACAGCCCGGATGGGAACACTCGTAGAGCCGTCTCCGTGCAGCTGGGGCAGGGGCAACCAGCCACAGGGCCGTAGTTGGAAGCAGAGCCCCAGGTACGATCACAGCTGGTGCGGGTCGCGGTGCTAGTGGCACCCACCCTGGAGCTGTAGCACTTGCAGCGGTCGGTAGAACTTGCGGGACGCGCTGCTCATCTTTGGATGGTTTCGGTTGGCAATCCATGTGAGGTGACGGCACACGGGCCTCATCGATTTTCATCGGAGGACTTGCGGGTTCAGATACAGGTGCACTTTGTGTCTGGCTGGCAATATATTTCACTTGTGAGTAACTGTGACCGCGGTTCATTTTAAATTTAAGCGTCTTCAAGATATTCATGTCTTTGGGTGGCGGTGGTGGAAGCGGTTCGGGGCTGCAGGTGCCGTCTTTATGCGCGCGCATGATGACGGACGGTCTGCTGCAGGGTTCTGGCGGCGGCGTAGTGAGCAGTAATCGCTCCAGCTCGCAACGGGATCTTTTACTGCATTCTTCTTCACTTTCCGAGTCGGATGGCTGAGGAGTGACTAAGCCGGTCGGTGGTGGTGACTCCCTAGCTCTCTTTACTGCAGCCTTCTTTAAAGGTAGCTCAACCTGTAGGACAAAGACATAAACACATAAGTAAACGGTCGCTAACTTGGCGCAGCACGCGCACACTGCGTGATCGCGCGCGCTCGCTTGTCATACTTTCGATTGCACCAACGGTTCAAGTAAATACGAAATAGTTGCCTATTTTTATTTATTTTCTTTAAATGAACCAAATATTTTTTTTTTATTCCAATTTTGTTTTATTTTTTCTTCAAAACAAAACATTTTTGAAGACACTCACTTTATGTTCTATTAACGGCGGCGTCGACGGTGGTGAGAGGGGACCACAAACTTCAAGCATGGTAGACATTTTAATTAATTTTTTAACATACAACTAAATAAAACTTTTTATTTTAATTCACAAAACTTCTGTTTTCCTTCCGCGCCTTAGCTCCAGAGAGCCGTGTGGTTCTGTTAACGAGCAGCAAGCGAATAAACCGCGCCGTGAACACTCGAGGTACGATGAACGGATCGGTGCGGGGCACAGGAGGAGGGTGGCCAATAGGAGCGGGCGGCGCGGCTGTGGCGGCCAATGAGGGGGCAGTGATCACGCAGGCAGCGCGTGCCAGCGCGTGGTGTTCACGTGCACACGGAGTGACGGCGGGCGAGGTCGCGGTGTGACGTCACCGGCGCGCCCCCGCATGACGTCGCGCGAGGGGCGCCGCCATGCAAGGTCGCTAGTCGCCGCTCGCTATTGCATCGTTTCAATCAGTGACACTGTGACACTCATTGCATCTAACTTCGCTGTTTTGACACTTGTGTCGATGACCTCGTAACTATGCAGTGACGGCGACACTTTACTTTCAACTTAACTCGCATCTTTATATCCGTTTCATCGACTAATTCCAAAGTATTAATGAAAACACGATGTTGATACGTGATACAAACATAAATATTATATATAGATCAATTAATACAACGTTATCTAGTTAAATCTTTAGGCGCTTATTGCTCTTGGTTGATAAATAGATTCACTTAATGACGGTTCTGATAAAAATCACGCATAATACACAGATATTTTTTGGTACTCACGTGTATATCTCTTTATATTGTTGTTCTAATATACCTTTTATTTTCAGATGCGATTTTCGATTTTATACATTTATTTCCGATAGAATATATGTATATATATGAAGAAAGAAAGAAATAATTTAATCGAAGAAGCATGCGACCCACACAGTAACGCACAAAACAAGAACAAAACAAATCAAAACAAAACAAACAAAAGAAAATAATATTTGTATACAAATAGAAAGCAATTAAATTATAATAATAATCAAGAAACAAACAAACAGTAGGATAACTCTTGAATCCAACATCAACTCAATCCAAATCTATTGCTAATGACAATTTAATACTGCACTCATGTAGCAACAGTTAGGCTTAGACTTAACGATTATTTAAAAACTACTGTAATGAAATTTAAAATTGCCTACATAACTATTACTGGAATAATTTTACATATTCTATATTTCTAAGTGTTAAACGCAGCATCAATTTTTCATCAATGACTCATATTTAAACAAATTCTACTTAATCTGTTATAATGATCTAGTAGATTTTATTTCAATAATCATTAATATTATCAATCTAATACTTATTTGATGTCTTTAAATCAAATAAGTAATAGGTACATAAAATACTCTTTTATACTTAAATAGTGTGTTAATATTATCGTGTAAAGTAACAAAATTACAGAGCAATTGGAGAGGGATTAATGCACATTGCGCAGTCATACACCGCTGGCTCTAACCCAAATAGGTAATAGGGTGAGGTTAATTTAATGAAAAACAAGGTTTCCTTCACCAATTACATTGAATATATTCGTATTAATATTATATAATTATTAACATCTCGTAAAAACAAAATATTTGAATATAAACATTTATTTATGAGTCACAATTACCTCTAAATTTAGTTAAATAATAAAATTTCCTATCAGCTCTATTTATTATTGAAATTTAGATAGTAAAATTTATTTTTATATGTGGGTCACTACAAAATATATGTCAACAACAGAATGTTTTTCTCATTTAGATAATTGTGTTTATTGAAGTGACTTCAAAATGGACATTTTAAATTTACTTCAATTTTTTCTGGATATGTTTATACATCAATACACGGTACCTTCGCTGTTTCTAAACTGGTTTTGATGATTCTTTTTTTTTAATCAATTAAATTTACTCCTGTATTTAATCCAATTGAATTTGTCATATCGTATTTGCTTTACGTAATTTTTAAAAATTGTCTCTAGCGATTCTATTGCTATTAAAAAATGCTTATTTTTATTTTATTTTTTATTTAATACTTTATTGTACACACTAATTATTTATATAAATATGACAGAGGTAATCAAATGTACAAAGGCGAGCTTCACTCTAAAAGAGTTCTCTTCCAGCAACACCCAAAGTGGAAAGGAGCATCAATGTCAACGGCTAGAGCGCTGTACAATATTGTGGAAATTTTTAAATAAAGAAATTAGACATTTAAATTAATTACATTATATTTAATCGTATAAATACACATATACATATTTTTTTTTTCATATTTTATATGTAACAGCAGTATTATAAATATAATATCAGTACGTAATACGTATAACGGTATGAGTAAGCCATACGATGCGCGCACACTGTATCTCGTCGCGTCCCTCACCACACCCTGCGCGTGAAAGTGGCAGAGGCAGACACGCGGCGCACGAGTGACCACAGATAGGATGGCGTGAGTGACGAATGACTACGTATTCAGCCACGATAGCGATTTTATAACCCCCTTAGGCGTTTTTACACGATAACTGTGACGTAAAAATACAGTCTACCATCCAATCTAGTGATTTTAATGGCATTTACAAGAACACCATTAGTCGTAATCACTTAATTCAAATGGGGGAATCCAGTTGACGGTGTATGCCTTTGAGTAGGCGACCTTCACAACGCTTGTGAAGTTATTTCTGGCAGATGTCGCTAGTAAGCCGTAGAGTTTCTTGCCTTTTACATTTTAAATTGGATATGGGACAAGTCCGTGACTGACGATTATATCCCTAAATTATTGAATATTTAATTACAATCCTATTTATTTGCTAATTGGTTAAATTTATAATTAATTTTACATTACTAGTTGAAGTATTATCCTAAATATTTATTTACAAATAACAAGAAAAAGTAATTAAGAATTTTAAAAATTATTTAAAGATAAAAAATTTCTGTGAGATCACTGCCAGCTGGTAGGGTTATATCTGCATTTCCACGCTGAATAGCAATTATGACCAAAGTATAGGCATTCTGGTCACCAGAGGTTTCCAACAGCCGGCGTGAAATCTCTTTGAAAAGCTTCATTGCTTCGGGGCCCCACGGACCCAGAGTATTATATATCCATTTCCAAGGGATGAATATTTACGTGTATATACATTTGGACGTACTAAGTTTTATATAACAATATTATGTGATATGTGTATATTCTTTTACTAATTTTTATATAAATCAATCTAATATATATAAAGCAAACAAACAAACATAAAGTATATTAAAAATTACATATTTAAGTCAATCGCATGTTTTATCTATTTAAAGAAATCCCTTTTTATCTGTAGATAAAAAAGTGATTTCTGAAGCTCTTATATTTCAATGAAATTACGTTGAATCAATTTATTTTATCAAATAATTTGTACTTCCACATAATTATAGAATTATAATAATTTAATATTAATCAAAATTTGCTAAACCATATGTCAATTACATACCTATCTGCAACTTTGTATGTATCCGTTTTTACTATATTATAATACTTTATTGTAGATTTTCCTTTTCTTTCATCCCTGTATATAAGTACGTACATATATGGTTCAATATTGTCAACTAACTACATAAACTTCTACTATTATATATGTTTATATATGTCGTTATCTATTTTTATATAACATGAAAAAAATTTTACTATAATTTTTTTAATGACTATTTGTATTAAAATAAAATAAAAAAAAAACATATAAAACAAAGTTATATTACAAAAGAAAATGCTTTATTTTCTTTTATTAAAACATATCACAAGCACATATAATATAATGCTATACTGTACTACAAAATATTATATTATATATAACGTAACAAATATAAACAAATTTCAATAACGCGCACAGTTTAACACTTGTACCATCCAACCAGTGTACACTTGTGTGCTCGTACGTTGAACTCCCGCATTACGTGTGTGTGGGTGTGTTTGGGAAATTTAATTACTGTATGACGCGGCATTTAGTAATGACCATGTTACTAATTATCGCCGTACTAGTGATGGATTGTTTAGTTCCACTTACTGTCCTCGTTATAATTATCTTACTAAAATTAGTCATAAACTGTAAACAAACATGTAAACAAATAAATAATTAACTTATCCGTAAAGAGTTATTTGTAATACAAATAATAAATTAATTGATTGGATCCTTCCATTTGTTTATATTTTCAACAGACGGCAACGCGTTCGTAGCTGCTTTGAGATGAATGGGATTGTTAGCAATGGAGTTTGACAACCCCCTTGCTAGGAATATGCTCTATTAGGTCGTCCTCCACGTGGTTCCCCCTGGAAACCATCGTGAACAATTCTTGTTGAATTCGTCACGATGGGCTAACTGACCTACTTCATCCTCACGTATCATCCTTCACTGGTGCCCCGCCGGTGTATACCGGTAGCGCAGGCGGGGTTACCATTCCATTATCACACAATAAAAAAAATACCCTTGCTGGCAATATGCTTATTAGGTCCTCCACATGGTCTGCAATCCACGCATACGAATTCGTCAGATGAGAACTTCATCCTCACGAATCATCTTAGGTGCCCCGCCGGTAGAATAAATAATCCATAAAAAAAATCAATGTATTCGGTGTGGTAAGATATTGAGCCATCAAGGTGCACAGTGGTAAACAAAAACACCAACTCGCATGTTTATTTTTATAACTATGTTGAAACAGAGGTCAGAGTTTACAAAGATGTTTTGAGGTTTGCCATTCAATGGTTGAGATTTGAATGAAACACGACAGAGAAAAGTTTTTATCATATTTTTTTATACAACTTAGAATGACAAATAAGCTGACGGCCCACCTGATGGAAAGTGGTGACTGTCGCCTATAGACATGAGCAGTATCATGGACATAACAGAGTATACTGTTTCGCCCATGATACTCCCCATGCGTTGCCATTCCTGAGGACTCAGGTGTACCCAGTAAATTCACTGCCATATACTACCCATCAAACTGAAACAGCAATGCAAACACAACTGTTTCACGGTAGAAATGCTGTTTCACGGTTGCAGGAATGGCAACGTATGGGGGGTATCATAGGTGAAACAGTACACTCTGTTATGTCCATGGTACTGCTCATGTCTATAGGCGACGGTTACCACTTTCTATCAGGTGGGCCGTCAGCTTGTTTGCCATTCTAAGTTGCATAAAAAACAAAA